AAGCTACTGTTGTATCAATATGTTTTGACCATGAGAGTTTACAATCCAGGGTTACTCCAAGCAGTTTAGTCTCCTCAACTTGCTCAATTACCACATTATTCATTACAAGATTTAGTTGAGGTTTAGGGTTTAGTGAATACAATGCTTTTAGTTTTAGAAATATTTAGGACTAACTTATTCCTTGCCACCCATTCTGAAACTAACTGCAGCTCTTTGTTAATTGTTACAGTCATTTCAGTCGCTGTAGTAGCTGACGTGTATAGTGTTGAGTCATCCGCATACATAGACACACTGGCTATACTCAAAGCCAGTGGCATGTCGTTAGTAAAGATTGAAAAAAGTAAGGGGCCTAGACAGCTGCCCTGGGGAATTCCTGATTCTACCTGGATTTTGTTGGAGAGGCTTCCATTAAAGAACATCCTCTGTGTTCTGTAAGACAGGTAACTCTTTATCCACAATATAGCAGGGGGTGAAAAGCCATAACACATACATTTTTTCAGCAACAGACTATAATTGATCATGTCAAAAGCCACACTGAAGTCTAACAAAACAGCCTCCACAATCTTTTTATCATCAATTTCTCTCAGCCAATCATCAGTAATTTGTGTAAGTGCTGTGCTTGTTGAATGTGCTTCCCTATTAGCGTGCTGAAAGTCTGTTGTCAATTTGTTTACTGTAAAATAGCATTTTATCTGCTCAAACACAATTCTTTCCAAAAGTTCACAAAGAATTGGTAACAGGCTGATTGGTCAGCTACAGTACCAGTCAAAAGTTTGGACACACCTACTAATTCAAGAGTTTTTCTTTATTTTGACGATTTTCTACATTGTAGAATAATAGTGAAGACATCAAAACTATGAAATAACACATATGGAATCATGTACAAGCATTTCGCTACACCCGCAATAACATCTGCTAAACACGTGTATGTGACAAATACAATTTGATTTGATTTGATGTAGTAACCAAAAAAGTGTTAAACAAATCAAAATATATTTTATATTTGAGATTCTTCAAATAGCCACACTTTGCCTTGATGACAGCTTTGCACACTCTTGGCATTCTCTCAACCAGCTTCATCTGGAATGCTTTTCCAACAGTCTTGAAGGAGTTCCCACATAATTTATGCTGAGCACTTGTTGGCTGCTTTTCCTTCACTCTGCCGTCCGACTCATCCCAAACCATCTCAATTGGGTTGAGGTAGGGTGATTGTGGAGGCCAGGTCATCTGTTGCAGCACTCCATTACTCTCCTTCTTGGTCAAATAGCCCTTACACAGCCTGGAGGTGTGTTGGGTCATTGTCCTGTTGAAAAACAAATTATAGTCCCACTAAGCCCAAACCAGATGGGATGGCGTTTCGCTGCAGAATGCTGTGATAGCCATGCTGGTTTAGTGTGCCTTGAATTCTAAATAAATCACAGACAGTGTCACCAGCAAAGCACCTCCACACCATAACACCTCCTCCTCCATGCTTTACGGTGGGAACTACACATGCAGAGATCATCCGTTCACCCACACCGCGTCTCACAAAGACACGCGGTTGGAACAAAACATCTCAAATTTGGTCTCCAGACCAAAGGACAAATTTCCACCAGTCTAATGTCCATTGCTCGTGTTTCTTGGCCCAAGTAGGTCTCTTCTTCTTATTGGTGTCCTTTAGTAGTGGTGTCTTTGCAGCAATTCGACCATGAAAGCCTGATACACACAGTAAAAAAATGTTTTTGCCACATGCGCCGAATACAACAGGTGTAGACATTACCGTGAAATGCTTACTTACAGCCCTTAACCAACAATGGATTTAATTTTTTATAAAAAAGTAAAATAAAACAACAACAACAAAAAAGTGTTGAGAAAAAAAGAGCAGAAGTAAAATAAAATAACAGTAGGGAAGCTATATACAGGGGGGTACCGGTGCAGAGTCAATGTGCGGGGGCACCGGCTAGTTGAGCTAGTTGAGGTAATATGTACAGTTGAAGTCGGAAGTTTACATACACCTTAGCCAAATACATTTCAACTCAGTTTTTCACAATTCCTGACATTTAATCCTAGTAAAATGTCCCTTTCTTAGGATCAACACTTTATTTTAAGAATGTGAAATGTCAGGATAATAGTAAAGAGAATGATTTATTTCAGCTTTTATTTATTTCATCACATTCCCAGTGGGTCAGAAGTTTACATACACTCAATTAGTATTTGGTAGCATTGCCTTTAAATTGTTTAACTTGGGTCAAATGTTTCGGGTAGCCTTCCACAAGCTTCCCACAATAAGTTGGGTGAATTTTGGCACATTCCTCCTGACAGAGCTGGTGTAACTGAGTCAGGTTTGTAGGCCTCCTTGCTCGCACACACTTTTTCAGTTCTGTCCACACATTTTCTATAGTATTGAGGTCAGGGCTTTGTGATGGCCACTCCAATACCTTGACTTTGTTGTCCTTAAGCCATTTTGCCACAACTTTGGATGTATGCTTGGGGTCATTGTCCATTTGGAAGACCCAAGCGTTAACTTCCTGACTGATGTCTTGAGATGTTTCTTCAATATATCCACATAATTTTCCTTCCTCATGATGCCATCTATTTTGTGAAGTGCACCAGTCCTAACGATGGTCATTATGGCCAAACAGTTCTATTTTTGTTTCATCAGACCAGAGGACATTTCTCCAAAAAGTACAATCTTTGTCCCCATGTGCATTTGCAAACCGTAGTCTACCTTTTTTATGGCGGTTTTGGAGCAGTGGCTTCTTCCTTGCTGAGCGGCCTTTCAGGTTATGTCGATATAGGACTCGTTTTACTGTGGATATAGATCATTTTCCTCCAGCATCTTCATAAGGTCCTTTGCTGTTGTTCTGGGATTGATTTGCACTTTTCGCACCAAAGTACATTTATCTCTAGGAGACAGAACGCATCTCCTTTCTGAGCGGTATGACGGCTGCGTGGTCCCATGGTGTTTATACTTGCATACTATTGTTTGTACAGATGAACATGTTACCTTCAGGCGTTTGGAAATTGCTCCCAAGGATGAACCAGACTTGTGGAGGTCTACAAATTGTTTTGAGGTCTTGGCTGATTTCTTTTGATTTTCCCATGATGTCAAGCAAAGAGGCACTGCATTTGAAGGTAGGCATTGAAATACATCCATAGGTACACCTCCAATTGACTCAAATGATGTCAATTAGCCTATCAGAAGCTTCTAACGTCATGACATCATTTTCTGGAATTTTCCAAGCTGTTTAAAGGCACAGTCAACTTAGTGTATGTAAACTTCTGACCCACTGGAATTGTGAGACAGTGAATTATAAGTGAAATAAAATGTCTGTAAACAATTGTTGGAAAGATTACTTGTGTCATGCACAAAGTAGATTAACCGACTTGCCAAAACTTTTTTGTTGACAAGACATTTGTGGAGTGGTTGAAAAACGAGTTGTAATGACTCCAACCTAAGTGTATGTAAACTTCCGACTTCAACTGTACATGTGGGTAGAGTTAAAGTGACTATGCATAAATAATTAACAGAGTAGCAGCAGTGTAAACAGATGGGGTGGGGGTGTGTGGGCAGTGCAAATAGTCCGGGTAGCCATGATTAGCTGTTCAGGAGTCTTATGGCTTGGGGGTAGAAGCTGTTGAGAAGCCTTTTGGACCTAGACTTGGCACTCCGGTACCGCTTGCCGTGCGGCAGCAGAGAGAAAAGTCCCCTCTGAACAGTTGATGTTGGGATGTGTCTGTTACTTGAACTCTGTGAAGCATTTATTTGGGCTGCAATTTCTGAGGCTGGTAACTCTAATGAACTTATCCTCTGCAGCAGAGGTAACTCTGGGTCTTCCATTCCTGTGCCGGTCCTCATGAGAGCCAGTTTCATCATAGCGCTTGATTGTTTTTGCGAATGCACTTGAAGAAACTTTCAAAATTCTTGAAATGTTCCATATTGACTGACCTTCATGTCTTAAAGTAATGATGGACTGTCATTTCTCTTTGCTTATTTGAGCTGTTCTTGCCATAATATGGACTTGTTATTTCACCTAATAGGGATATCTTCTGTATACCCCCCCCTACCTTGTCACAACACAACTGATTGGCTGAAACGCATTAAGAAGGAAAGAAATTCCACAAATTAACTTTTAAGAAGGCACACCTGTTAATTGAAATGCATTCCAGGTGACTACCTCATGAAGCTGGTTGAGAGAGCGCCAAGAGTGTGCAAAGCTGTCATCAAGGCAAAGGGTGGCTATTTGAAGAATCTCAAATATATTTTGATTTGTTTAACACGTTCTTGGTTACTACATGATTCCATATGTGTTATTTCACAGATTTGATGTCTTCACTATTATTCTACAATGTAGAAAATAGTAAAGATATAGAAAAACCCTTGAATGAGTAGGTGTGTCCAAACGTTTGACTGGTAGTGTATTTGAGACAGTAAAGGGGGCTTTACTATCCTTAGGTAGGGGAATAACTTTTGCTTCCCTCCAGGCCTGCGGGCACACACTTTCTAGTACGCTTAAATTGAAGATATGGCAAATAGGAGTGGCAATATCGTCCGCTATTATCCTCAGTAATTTTCCATCCAAGTTGTCAGACCCTGGTGGCTTGTCATTGTTGATAGACAAATCGCCTTACAGCATGTTAGTAATACAATTAGCCAGACTAAGCAAAAAACATACGCTGCAGCCCATTGGTCAATTTGGGATCCCCAACTTCCAAACAGGGATTTCAACCAAGTTGCAAGCGTCCACTCTAGCTGTGGGGAATTGTTCTTAGCCACAGTAGCAAAGTATTCGGCAAGATCAGCAACATTAGAGTACCGATCTGGGACAAAAGTGCAACACATCTCCAATTATTGCACAAGTTACCCCTTGACCTGCCAAAAGATAGTCAAGGACCTCTCTATTTTGCAGAGCCAACTTACGCAAATCTTTTAGGTCCCCATTCAATTGTTCCAGGTCATTTCGAGTAGCACGAATTTGGTCTAGGGCACATGCAACTCCATACCCAGGGAAAAACACACCAAAGAACCTGGAGGCAGGTGCTTGAGTGTGAGTGATGTCAGCCAGAGACCTCTTATCTCTCCTCATTACATGAGGTTTGTATTCTCTAAACAGAGCCTTTAGATTCTTGTCATTGTTTGAAACAGTTCTCATAGCTGCCACCACAAACCCAACAGTACAAGTACCAATTCAGGGTAAGGCTATAGAAAGCCATCTTACCACACAACCAATAGGTGCCATTTGGGGCTCCTCTCAAAGGGATAAGAACATTATAGACTGAAATACCAGAAGTAACAGGTATTCACCCAAATGATGATCTCCTTCTCCTCTAATACACCAAATGGCTGTCATCACTACTGCTACTGAAATGGGTGTGAGTAAACTATTATCTGGCCTAGCAAAAGATGGTGGGCCTGTGTGGTTGTATAATGCAAAAAAACGTCATGGGGTCAGGGTTACGTGGTAGCTCTACTACGAATGGTACATCCATTTGCATAGTCAATTTTTACCCCTATGGGGAACTCCCACAAGTGGTAAACCTGCTCCTACCTTAACTGCGCCACTCGGGAGAGTGGAACAGATTGTCCTCATGGTTATGAGGGCCCAGCAGGGCTCTCCTTCTCCGATGACCATCTACTTCTGGGCTACTACTCTGGGCCTGTGTTGGTCCCTTTGGCTCAGGACTCATCTCACCCTCTGTCAGGTTTCCTACAAGAGGACAACCTACTGTTCTTATTAGCCCTCCTGTGCTAATGCACAGGAGGGCCACACTGCACCACCGTAACTGGCGAGGCCCCATCTTCTCCTGGATCAGGAACTCGTCTGCAGTGCGACACGTGGATCCAGGTATCTCTCTCAGCATTGTTCTGCAAACACAGTAAAACCTACTGTACACCTATATTTATTTACAAGATCCACCATCCCTCTTGACTCATGGTCTTGAGCATGTGACAATTTGGCAAGGAATTGGAAAGTACAACGGGGCATGGCAGGTCCCTCTATTCTTCCACAATGTTCCAAAATCATGCACTACACTAAACGCATATCTACTTTCAGTGTAAATGTTAACAGAGCTGTCCTTTCCCAAAATGCAAGCTCTAGTCAAGCCAAATAGTTCTGCAGCCTGGGCAGATAAGTGTGAGGGGAGTCTAGCACTCTCCACAATGGTTCCCCTTTTTCATTTCTCTGAGCAGACACATCTACAAAAAACTCAAAGTCTGAATTGTCTAACGGGTTGTCTCTCAAGTCCAATCTAGGGCTACAGTCAACTTCAATAGCTAAGCGACAGTCATGGTCTTCACCAGCATCTGCTGTAGGGAGATGAGTTGAAGGGTTAAGAATTGGACATTGTTTCAGAGTAACATGGGACATTGTCAACAGAATGTTCTGATAGTCTAGCACTCGCAGTTGTCAAATGAGCCGTTCTTGCCTGTGTAATAATTGCGTACACAGCATGTGGCACATGTACGGTTAGAGGAAATATTGCCACAATATCAAAACATGCCAAAACAGCCTCAGTAGCAGCCGCTACCGATCTCAAACAGGAAACCATTCCCCTGATCACAGTATCCAGTCTTTTAGAATAATAACCAACAGGTCTATATCCCACCCCATGATACTGTGTCAAAACTGCGGACATAAACCCACCCGTCTCCGAAACAAAGAGATGGAAGTGTTTAGTATGGTCTGGCAAACCCAAGCAAGGGGTAGACATGAATGTTTGTTTCAATTTTACCAATGCCACCTCAGCCTCATCAGTCCAGACCACAACTTCACTCGCCTCCATCTTTCTCCCATAAATACAATCCTACAGCGGTTGAACGATCTCTGCATAGTCTTTCAACCACGGACGACAGTAACCAGCCACACCCAACAAAGACATCATGTGCTACTTGGTAACAGGTTCAGGCAAAGGTTTAATTGCCTCTAATCTATCTTTGGAGAGGGCGCAAACCGCAGAAGTAATGTCATGACCGAAATATTTAACGGAGCTCCGGCATAATTGCATCGTACTGGGGGAAACTTTGTGACAATTTTCTGCCATAAAAATCAACAATGCCCGAGTGTCCTCGGGACATTGTCCTGCCCTCACTCTAGCCTTCTTCTAAGCCTAGTTCTATCCTTCTTCTAAGACTATGGTACATTTCTAAATTTTTAGGTTTAGTTTTATTTCTTTATTTTTTTATACAAATTCATTTAAATTGACTAACTGAAATTCAGTAGACGTGTCCCTCAGAGGTTCGCAGATCAGGTATCTGTCTTTGGTCAGATTGGAATTTCCCTCACGCCTTTACACGGAATGCGCCACCGGTGTTCCCTCGCAGACCTTCACTGGGATGCTCCACAGGTGGAATCACTGATCCTGTTCGTTGATGCCAAGAATGTGGTGGAAATTCAACACCAGGGACACCTCTTTATTATCAGTCAACTGGAGAGGTTACAACAAACACACATACAAAGTACAAGTCTGCCACAAGCTCCGCCAGGGCGGTCCCTTGAGTCCTCTTATATACTGCTACACAAAAAAGCTACATAGGCATGCATGTTTCATAGGGTTGGTTCCTGCAGATGACTGGCTGTTATCGTGCAGCCTCAGAAACTGAGCAATGTCTCCGATCTTAACTTCCACAACATATTCTGGGCGTTCTGCCAATTGGTCTGAGGAAGAAGTCACCTGCACGAACCAAGATAGGGTGAGAGAAGATGCATACCGTGTACATTCAAGGCTATCTCTTCAGACTATAAAATGTTCCCTTACACCCTCTTTATACTTCTATTGCTAAATTTTTAAGCTAGGACAGCCGGGAGGTGTGGTGCCCCAGTACAGTAGGTGGTGGTAATGCACCATAACGTTGGATGCCAACCTCTGATAAACCCCACAGAAGAAGAAACGGTGAGGGTGAGGTGCTTTGAAGAGCCAGGGGAGAGCAATGGCGGAAGCGGAAGTATTGTGCGATTCTGTTGGCGTGAGTCAAGTTGGTGAGAATGAGTGGACGACGGTGAAGAAGAATGGAGCTAAAAAGGCTAAAGTTGGAAATGAACAGCAGTTTATTGTTGGAGTGCGATTCACGAGCAAGGATGATTTTTTTGTGACCCGTTGTCAAAGATAGTGAAGGACGAATTGGGAAAAGTGGAATCGGTCAGAGTGAACAGGAGTGGTATGATGCTGATTTTGTGTTTGTCAAAAGAGCAAAAGGAGAAAGCTCCATGGCTCTACAAGCTACAAAAACCACTGCAGTGTTTCAATTGTAAAAGGTTTGGACACATGGCAAGTGTTTGCAAAAGGAATACATAAAGTGCCATGCAAAAGTATTCATCCCCTTTGGCGTTTTTCCTTTTTTTGTTGCATTACAACCTACAATTTAAATTGATATTTATTTGGATTTCATGTAATAGTCCAAATTGGTGAAGTGAAATGAAAAAAATAACTTGTTTCAAGAAATTCTAGAAAATAAATAACGGAAAAGAGGTGCGTGCATATGTATTCGCCCCCTTTGCTATGAAGCCCCTAAATAAGATCTGGGGCAACCAATTACCTTCAGAAGTCAAATAATTAGTTAAATAAAGTCCACCTGCGTGCAATCTAAGTGTCACATGATCTGTCACATGATCTCAGTATATATACACCTGTTCTGAAAGGCCCCAGAGTCTGCAACACCACTAAGCAAGGGGCACCACCAAGCAAGCGGCGCCATGAAGAACAAGGAGCTCTCCAAATAGATCAGGGACAAAGTTGTAGAGAAGTACAGATCAGTGTTGGGTTACAAAAAAATATCAGAAACTTTGAACATCCCACGGAGCACCATTAAAATTGAAAGAATATGGCACCACAACAAACCTATCAAGAGAGGGCCGCCCACCAAAACCCACGGACCAGGCATGGAGGGCATTAATCAGAGAGGCAACAAAGACACCAAAGATAACCCTGAAGGAGCTGCAAAGCTCCACAGCAGAGATTGGAGTATCTGTCCATAGGACCACTTTAAGCCGTACACTCCACAGAGCTGGGCTTTACAGAAGAGTGGCCAGTAAAAAGCCATTGCTTAAAGAAAAAAATAAGCAAACACGTTTGGTGTTCACCAAACGGCATGTGGGAGACTCCCCAAACATATGTAAGAAGGTACTCTGGTCAGATGAGACTAAAATGGAGCTTTTTGGCCATCAAGGAAAACGCTATGTCTGGCGCAAACCCAACACCTCTCATCACCCCGAGAACACCATTCCCACAGTGAAACATGGTGGTGGCAGCATCATGCTGTGGGGATGTTTTTCATCGGCAGGGACTGGGAAACTGGTCAGAATTGAAGGAATGATGGATGGCGCTAAATACAGGGAAATTCTTAAGGGAAACCTGTTTCAGTCTTCCAGAGATTTGAGACTGGGACGAAGGTTCACCTTCCAGCAGGAGAATGACCCTAAGCATACTGCTAAAGCAACACTCAAGTGGTTTAAGGGGAAACATTTAAATGTCTTGGAATGGCCTAGTCAAAGCCCAGACCTCAATCCAATTGAGAATCTGTGGTATGACTTAAAGATTGCTGTACACCAGCGGAACCCATCCAACTTGAAGGAGCTGGAGCAGTTTTGGCTTGAAGAATGGGCAAAATTCCCAGTGGCTAGATGTGTCAAGCTTATAGAGACATACCCCAAGAGTGCAGGTTAAGTGTATAAAACATTTTTCTTTTCGAGGTGAGGAGGATTATTTAAGATACTGTTTGAAGAAGTAGGGTTTCAGATGTTTTCGGAAGATGGGCATGGACTCTGCTGTCCTAGCTTCAGGGGGAAGCTGGTTACACCATTGTCATGCCAGGACAGAGAAGAGCTTAGACTGGGCTGAGCGGGAGGGCAAAGAGACCTGAGGTGGTAGAACGGAGTGCTCGGGTTGGGGTGTAGGTTTGAGCATAGCCTGAAGGTAGGGAGGGGCAGTTCCTCTTGCTGTTCCGTAGGTAAGCACCATGGTCTTGTAATGATTGCGAGCTTCAACTGGATGCCAGTGGAGTGTGTGGAGAAGCGGGGTGACATGAGAGAACTTGGGAAGGTTGAACACCAGGCAGGCTGCTGCGTTCTGGATCAGTTGCATGGGTTTGATGGCACAAGCGGGCAGCCCAGCCAACAGCGAGTTGCAGTAGTCCAGATGGGAGAGGACAAGTGCCTGGATTAGGACCTGCGCCGCTTCCTGTGTGAGGTAGGTTTGTACTCTACGGATGTTGTAGAGCATGAACCTGCAGGAGCGGGTCACTGCTTTGATGTTTGCAGAGAACGACAGGGTGTTGTCTAGGGTCACGCCAAGGTTCTTTGCACTCTGGGAGGGTGACACTGTGGAATTGTCAACCGTGATGGAGAGGTCTTTGAGTGGGCAGGCCTTCCCCGGGAAGAAGAGCAGTTCCGTCTTGTCGAGGTTGAGCTTGAGGTGGTGGGCCGACATCCAAGTTGAGATATGACAGAGCCGAGTGACTTGGTGTATAGAGAGAAGAGGAGAGGGCCTAGAACCGAGCCATGGTGGACACCAGTAGTGAGAGTATGTGATGCAGACACAGATCCTCTCCCCGTCACCTGGTAGGAGCAGCCTGACAGGTAGGATGCAATCCAAGAGTGTGCATAGCCTGAGACGCCCAGCCCTGAGAAGGTGGAGAGGAGGATCTGATGGTTCACGGTGTCAAAGGCAGAGGATAGATCTAGGAGGATGAGAACAGAGGAGAGAGAGTCAGCTTTGGCAGTGCGGAGAGCCTCCGTGACACAGAGAAGAGCAGTCTCGGTTGAGTGACCCATTTTGAAGCCTGACTGGTTAGTGTCAAGAAG